ACCTGATTTATTATTATTATTATTATTATTATTATTTCCAGGGTCCTCTGTGTCTGCTTGTATTTCAACAATGATACAAGCAATCAGATTTCAGTCTTTAGACTACATGGGCAGACACTGAAAAGGAGATGTAATATATGGTCCATGGAGGACAGTCCTGTCTGGGCTTCTCTGGCAACATTGATGCCATTCAGATTTACATCAGCTGGCCTACTACATTGGTGAGGCAAATAATAATTTTCTGATAACATTTACTGAGAAAAAGAATTGGTCTACCAATATCAAAACTTTGTATGAGATCCAAATTAGAATGAAGACATGGTGGTGCATTGAGAACATCTCTGCTGAGATTGAAAGCTCGTTTAATTAGCAGAAATGTTATATAAGTGTGTTCTCGCAAATGCCACTGTATGAGCAAACTTTACTATTACATCCACTATCACTCTTTCAATTAAGCACGAATTAAGTCTGATAATGGCCACATGGTGCCACAAACAAAACATTTAAGAAAGAGCACAGTTTATTTAGTGTTCACCTGTAAATATACAGCTCCTCAAACAAGAAAGTCCCCAAATCCTTTAGCACAAAAAATATACACGAGCATCACTGTACACAAAACAGTTGAATTTCAGATTGAACGCCTTGTGACTGGGCCGAGGGGACGCACAGGAAACACTTGTTTAATTTAGCAGTTAACTTTTTTAGGAGGCTTTTGTTCAACATCTTACACGATATGAAATTACAAGACACACTCACCCTGCTGGAGTCGCAGGAGGGCTGGACACATAAAAGAGACTGACACACAAGCGCTTTTTGTGCCAAACAACAGCAGCTACCGAACCGGTGAGAAAACAGCGAGCCGTTGTCGAGCTAAGTCAAGCGGGAGGATGCATAAAAGAGAAGTAAACGGCGTACCCGAGCTACACACTGGCCCGGCGCGGCCCGCATACATTAAAAGTTGAACTGTTCACGGACTCCTGCCTGTCTCGCGCTCGGAACTCAACGACGACTACTGCCCGGTTTAGGAAAGTGACGTCACTATCCCAGCGCTCTCGTGACCGCGGCGAGGGAGCCCTCTTCTGTTCTCCATTGTACCCAATCATGGGCTGGGTAAAGGGGCATTTCACACAAAACCACACTCACGCAGTTAGAATTGAATAAAGTGGACTGAAGACCTTCTCACCATTTTTACATACATCATTTTATGTTAAAACACCACAGTGTAACGTATGTTTGACAAGACCCCTTTACAGTGGTGGAAAGTAACTAACTAGGCCTACATTTACTCCTACAATTTTGAGATAGGGCCTATTTGTATTTTAGGCTACTTGAGTAGGCCTGTGGGCTGTTTCCATTTCCTGCTGCCTCATTTCAGAGGCAAATTCTTTATTGCACTGCACCTATTTGACAACTTTAGGTAGGCTGACTTTATTAATTACTGGTGAGAAATTCACAAGCTACCCAGCAGTATGTAAAGTATTTCAAACTTGTAACAGGGTATTTCAGCACTGTGGTATTACTACTTTTAATTAAGTAAAGGATCTGAGTACTTCTTCCCCTGATGCCCCTGAACTTCCATAACCCTGTAAAAATGTAATATTGTGAGTTTTCATGCAGCAAACTTTAATGTAGCAGGAGTTTAAATTAAACTCACAATGCTCTGTATCCAAACATGATCGTAGTAGAGCACAGCTCATGTTTGTTTCATGCTAATGCTACCTTAAGTTACATACTGTAGCTTTAAGTTCAGTTTCTGTACATTTTGGAGTATATGTTTTATTTGTTTGTTTGTTTTTTATTAATTTATTAAAATGAGGAAGAATATTAGAAGCATATTTCAATATAATGCAGTCCAGTACAACATCACCATTATCTCCAACCTAAATAATAAACATATTAAACCTCTCTGAATGGTTTAACAAGAACTGACCATCACAGGCTTTGTAATGAAGCACAGTCATTGTACTTGATTACTTTACAGTGTGTAAATGGACTTAATAAAGTGACAGTAAAGTGTATATTTGCTTAAAGGGGTAGTTCAGCAATTTTGTACTGCACTCCCACTAAGCAGATGGACTTCCAAGAAGCATAATTTTCAAAAGAGGGTTGAGATATCCAAACATTTAGTCCCTAATATGGCTCAGTAATACATTTCAGTCTGGCCAAAGTTCTTCCACATACACATAATTAACTGTTTTGCCAGGTTGTCTTGTACTCCCAGTAATGTGCTACATGGTCTTCCCATCTAAAATCAGTGTGTCACTTCTCTGAAATTGAGAAACTTTGTTAAATGACATGTTGATGTTATGGGCCTGTTGCAACAGTACTACAATGAACCTTACTAATGCGGGTAAGAACATGTCTGAGCCATAGGTTGATTATATTGATACATTTCGTAAGATGAGAATGCAGCCTAGACTACATCACTGTCTATGTGTCAAAAACAAAAGCCACTTATACAAAGCAAACATTTTCTTTTTTTTTGATTTACATTCTACCTCTGTTGAATAAATCTACCACTTTTCACTCACTTCAACATGTACAGAGACAGACACAGTTACACTTAGACACTGATGACTGCTCATAGGAGATTCTGCTTTGCTAAGGTGTGGCCCTTTTTATATGAAATTTTGACTCATCGGGTATTGTCTCCAGTTTATAAACGGCAACAAAAATGTAGGTAGTGGTGTAAAGTCTCAGTACATATCAAGACATCTAGTGTGGGTGTGACATGTAGTGGAGTAATTATATTGTGCATTTCAAAAGTATCAAGTACCTCTTCACAGAAGGTATAGTTTAAGATATTTTCACAATAAAACATACAAACCAAATATGAGAGATTATGTGATATGTTTTTAGCATTTAGGCAGACTTTCATCACTTATTAAGAATAAAATATCTCAGACAATTTGCATTGAAAGTAAATTGATTTTTTTTTTGCCAAAAAATTATTAACA